AACTTGTCAATTAAACTTATGTTTTATACGAACGACAAGGACTCATTCGCAGGAATAAGCTGATTTGGGATTTGTGTATTTTTATCTTTTTATTAACATTATTTAAATCTTGTACCGGAATCTATGCAACGAACTGGAAGGAAAATCGCACTCGGCCCACGGTCTAATACACAACCATACTAAAATGTAAAAAAATACAAGACAGTCGATGCAATTTTAATTCACCATTAATCTTACATTATTGGTTATTTTTTACCTTATAGACTACTATGGACCAAAACTAAATTACAGCATTTGTCATTCTATACGGAATAATATAGGTAACATAAAAGAAAAGTACTCACAGTCGTCATTTTGGTTTTGTTTACGGTGCTTCAGCTTTCTCTTAGAAATTAAAAAAGTCTGCAAAACGTGCGCGAAGCCGGGTCTGCAATTTCATAACTCACCGTAATTTGAGGACAGTGTAGCCTGTGTGGCGTGCGCCTGTAATCCAGCTAAAAAGTGGAAGTTACAAACTGATTCAGCCGAGGACGCAGGTTCGAAACTGAGTCACGTCTTTCGGATGGTGACGTTTAAAGGTCGGTCCCAGACGTAAATAGTCATATCTGATTGATACACGTCTGTAAAAACCCAATACACACACACACACACGCCGTGCGACTAAAAAGAGGCTACGACTAAAAAGTAAACTGCCACTTTTTTTTTTCTGGAGTCCAAAAAACCGCAACGACTCAGCTAGCCGCTGAATAAACGTGGGGGGGGGGGGGGGGGGGGGGTAAGAGGACACTTTTTTTTTTGGGGGGGGGGTCTCGAAATTTGAAAAATTGACATTTTTCTTCGCTGGGGGGGGGTAAGGTCACCTTTTTTAGGTCAGCCATGGGCATAATTTTTTTTTTTTTTTTTTTTTAAATTAAAAAAAAAAAAAATCCAAGGGGGAGGGGGGTTTAGGTTTCTTTTTGGGGGGGTTTACACACATAAAATACCAAAGGGGGGGGGTTCAACCCCCCAAACCCCCCCCCCCCCCCCCTGCGTACGCGCCTGGGTGGGCTCTAACTCCCCTCCCCCTCCCCGCTGAAAAAGCAACGCAACGCCCCTGATAACAACACAGTAATACACTCGAGAATTTTTTTTTGCAATTACTACTGATGAAGTACCAAACACCGTCATTGAGCAGTGTGCAGCAACGAAGCATATACAACGTCTCGCGACTTGACAGATCACTTTTCTCTAACTTCTAACCAATCAGAAGCCCTCATTTTTTCCAGGAAGTGCCGGTGGACATTAATGCGCTAAATGTGGTTCTCAAATTGCAAAAGATCCCTACTCTTGGAGGGGTAGGAGAAAGCCATTTTACGTCATATTACTCCAGGAAGTGCCTGAAAATGAGCCGAATGTGGTTTTAAAATTGCAAATGCTTCCTACTCGGACACACCCTCCGATTGATCCCTCGCCGCTGTCGCTTCCCTGCATCGTTTTTCATATATTTCACCCCATGCGATTTTGTGCCTCCCCCCCCCCCCCCGTTAGAAATTCCTGGATCTGCCACTGAGCACAGATATGCAACTAGGAGAAAAAAAGTGGCTCACTCTGTCAGCCAACATGTCAGACAACGCAAGGGCAATTTTGTATTTCGTTTGTAGGAAAGCTGTGGAATGATCTCCCAGAAGGAATTAGATTAAAAACACCGATGTTATCTTTTCGGAGACATCTGTCCACCTATAATGTAAATGACGTGGGCTCAACCTCACCCTCTTTTGCTTTTCCTTTTATTTTACTTGTCTTCTTTCATTTTTAACGATTATATAGCTGTCCTTAAGCTTTTACAGGATTTGTGCATGTACGCACAAATGTGTATGATATTATTTTTATTGATACATCCTTTTTAAGTTTAAGATCACATTGATGATTTCATTTAAAGATGTGTTATCTTTCATTATAATGCTTTAGCACTTAAACTTTGTTTTTTGTTTTTTGTTTCCTTTTCTTTTATAAATACAAAAAAGTTACATGATATTGTGTTATTTGATTGAATGTATGTAAATACGAAACTTATGTATTAACAAATTATTAAAGAGAAAAAAATGCTTGTCAAAGAATGGAACTAGGCTCGACTACTAGTTCCCATTAACCTCACCTAAATTGTGGTAATACACATATTTACGTGTATATCTTTGTTTACATTTAGTATGCCGAGCTATGTCTAAATATTGTTTTAAAAACCATTATCCAGTGCAGTCAACATGGGGGGGGGGGGGGGGGGGGGGGGGGGGTAAGGGAGGACACTTTTTTTTTTTTGTCCCAAAAAAATCGCAACGACTCAGCCAACCGCTGAATAAGCGGGGGGGGGGGGTGGGGGGGGGGGGGGTTACACACAAAAAATACCAAGGGGGGGGGGGGTCGGTTGAACCCCCCCCCCTCCTCCCTGTATACGCGCCTGGTTATGTATACATGATCAGTATTATTATTCTTTGCATTGGATTGTTCATAATGTTAATAAATTCAAAAAATCAATTCAATACAAATTCAAATTTAAATCAAAAATTCAAATTCAATATAATATGTTAACTTTGCCTGTAGATTAATTTGGTCATTTTGCATTTATTTCAGTTCTCATAGTTTTTTTAACAGGATAATATAGATCTGAGAATAACTAATCAATATCTTCTATAAAGTGTCTTATACTCTCTTATTTCTAGGACTTCAATTTTAAATCCATTTTGAGACTTAAAATATTTCAAGTCTTAAGACTTAATAAATTGGGAATTCGACTAAAAGTTTTATCGAAACCAGCTTCTAGATATAAATCTTGGAAAGACTTAAACTTCTCGCCAATAAGATGTGCATATTTCCAGTTGCACCTGTTGATGACTGACTGTTGGCATATTTCCAGTTGAACCAGCTGACACCAATTAATTTGCATATTGAATATGGGGTGCGTGCAGATCTATGTTTTTTTAACAATTTTTCTGAATTTATAGCATATTTCTTAATTACTGATGATTTAGGTATATGCAATTCATTTCGAAAATACTACAAATATAAATTACAAGTTATTAGGACATTTCGCTACTTCGTATGAATTCCATTTAATTAAACATGAATAAGGGAAACATTAACTATGAACTAAAATAATTTCAATAAAATACAAGTATATGAAAAAAAATTCGATTAATTAAATTATGTATAAGTCTACTTACACTGTTGCTCATAACGGTGGAATATTTTTTTTATCCCAATTTATGGAATTATTCTAAAAATAATTTAAAAATACTAGATCTAGATAATAATATACAGTCTCAGATTTTATTGAATAATAATTTGCCAATATGTGTTTTGCGTGACTGCTAAAGCATGTATGTTATGCTACTATGTTTATTAACTAGGGGACCTATGCCCTTAAGTCATAAATGACAGTAATGAGGATTAATGCCTCACAAAAGGGCACTAATATAGCACATCGACACGGTATTGATCCTGGGGCCTCACAGTTACGAGGCCATTGCTTTGTCACTGAACCATGACTGTACGCAGCGGGGGCTATGGTAGGGGGCAGTTTCCATAAATTAAAAAAAACCCAGAAAATGCAATAAATTTTCAATAATTTATTGCATTCTACCCCGGTCCCCAACATAAAAAAATCTTCTGTGTGCCCATGCCTTGAGCCATAATGCATGGCCGTCCAGAGGATTTTTTTATGTTGGGGACCGGGGTAGAATGCAATAAATTATTGAATATTTATTGCATTTTCTGTTTTTTTTTAATTTATGGAAACTGCCCCCTACCCTAGCCCCCACTGCGTACAGTCATGGTTCAGTGACAAAGCAATGGCCTCGTAACTGTGAGGCCCCAGGATCAACACCGTGTCGATGTGCTATATCAGAGCCCTTTTGTGAGGCATTAATCCTCATTACTGTCATTTATGACTTAAGGGCATAGGTCCCCTTGTTGATAAACATAGTAGCATAATATATATGCTTTAGCAGTCACGCAAAACACATATTGGCAAATTATTATTCAATAAAATCTGACACTGTATACTATTATCTAGATCTAGTATTTTAAATTATTTTTAAAATAATTCCATAAATTGGGATAAAAAAAATATTCCACCGTTATGAGCAACAGTGTATTACCGATGCCTTTACATTGATAATACAGACGTACCAGTATTGAAGTGTTGTTGCCGTTCAGTTGGTTGGAAGTTTTACCAAATGGTTCTAATGGCTTAGCTAGACCAGTAAATCTAAAAGACTTGAAATATAAATACAATTGACTTAAACTTTAAATCTTTCAGGGACTTAAAATTTTAAGTCTTAGCTTAGATTTATTTTTGAAATGAATCCAAGAAAGGTTTAAAATAAATATTAAAAGACTTGAAATATAAATCCAATTGACTTAAATTTTAAACCTTTTCAGGGACTTAAAATTTCAAGTCTTAGCTTAGACTTATTTTAAATCCCAAAGGGTTCGTCACTAATATCAGTCTCTGTTAGATTTAAAAGTAAGACTTTAAGATTTAAAATAAGACTTTCAAATTTAGAGAGTATTCTTATCATAGCGGCCTACCGATCTCCAAGTTAGGATTGTCGGGACGTTTATTGCCTCGAGATCTCCGGCCAAAACTATTTTTTTAGACAATTCATATATAATTATTATAGATAATGTTAACTCTCGTTTTCAAATCATGATATTAGAGGCTGTGATTCCAGTAAGAGTTGAGACTGCCATATCCAATTAGGAAAAAAAAACAGCCACTGTTTGAAATGTTGAATTTGCCGACAGATGTTTTTTTTCTTATAGTTGGGTGCACGGCCATCCCACCCCACCTACAGTTTTCCTGTTCGCAGTCGAAATGAACAAAATAAAGATCATTTTTAATTATTATTTTAAAGTTTTTTTTTTAGCATTTAACCACCCAACCCACCCATCCCCTGCACTGTCTCCACACCTCGCCGTGCCTAAGGGATAGCGATCGTGGATGGCTCACGAAGTACATTGTAAAATGAAATTGAGTGTACGTTGATCGTCGTAACGCGTTTGGATTGAAATTATTGTTGCTCACTCCAGATCCGAAATCTACAACTTACAAGTTGTTCAGTCATGGCTTCCACTCTTGAGAGCTACGTTAATCGTATCCTTTATATTTGTATTAGCTACACAGCTTATTCTTTATTCATTAGATATAACAGACACATCTGTGCAGGTGAGCGACTGAATAAACTAAAACTCTAGCCGCCTAGGCCTAGGCTAGGGTCGGGAGTCTCTAGCCGGTACTGCCCCGCACTGCCCTGGGACTGCATAGTCGACACGCCGTACTCGGTCGGCCCGGGCGCGAAATTTTTATTCCCAAACAGGTTTGCAATTTCTTATATTTCGTTCTCCTCATTGGCTGATATGTTCTACGTCATTAGCAGCTTGGAAAGAGGTCACAAACAATTAGACTTTGATTTTTTTTGTATTGCTTTCCTCACCATGTCCATGCTCACTAACTTGGACCTAGTCACCTAACTTAGATCTAGATCTAGATCTAGATCTAAGTAACGTTAGACTAACTGTTAGATCTATTTAGAAAGGAAAAAAACTGAATAAACTGAGACTTGAACCCACAACTCTGAGATATTATTAGATATAACGTTAGATCTAGGCCCCTACGCTGACCTTACAGATTGAGCCAACGATGGGTTAATGAAAGGTGATTCTGCATGATTTCTATAACCCTAATGGTAACGTCATTGCTAATGACGTAACAACTAACAATCAGCCAATCAGATGACCGGAAATATTTGCATTGGCAAACCTGTTTGGGAAAAAAACATTAGCGGCCTGGGCGCGTTATTTTTTTCTGCGGCACAGATCATGAGATTGAAGTATGGTGCGTGTTGAGCCTATGGTCTCACAGTACGTACTTCTTTCCCTTCTGAATAGTGTCTGCACGTACGTGAGACTAGTCATGTTCGCTAGCGCATAGTGCTCAAAACGCATACACCCTCAAAACGCATACACCCTCAATACTGGTCCTTCAAGAGGCAGTGAGGAAGTATGATCTTCCAGACCTCCAAAGCCTCGTCTCGAACCCACCCTTCTACTCAACATGGAAAAGGATGATCAACTACAAAGTCATCCTGGTGGTAAAACACAATACTCTACAAGGAATATACCTTGAATATACCTTGAAGTCCACACCTCGCCATCGTGGTGATAAAGATCCCGTAGATAGTGTGGTGTGGCAGGGTTAAGGGGGTCCCATAGGACCCATTTAAAAACCCAGGTAGGAATCCGCTCTCAAGTCCTCTCTCAAGTTCTGGATAAATATCACTCTACCCTCTGCAAATCTCCTATATCCAAAGAATGCACCATCTCCTCCCATCCGAAGAGCTCTTATAGTGAGAGCCCAATTACTCACATCCACTTACTTGACACAATGCCGTCTTTTCACGCTTGAGAAATCGCCTATCTCCACATGCCCCATTTGTAAAACCAATGATGAGACAGTGGAGCACTTTGTTGGAGTCTGCTCATACCTGGCCCATCTCCGTCAGGATTTCATCAGCAAAGTCAAGGAATGCCTCATGGATTATCCCATCTGTTTGAACCTATATGATGATGATGACCCACAGCAATTTACTCCTGCTACTCTGTTACCCCTGCATTCCGAAATTCATAATATCCTACTTCTACTATTGCTCTTTTTCCTACACAAAATTGATGCTTTTCGTTCTAAGACTCTCCAAAGCTTCTAACCGGTCGGATTTTAAACATTTACTTTATTTGGACTCCAGGAATCTCCAAAACAGTGGAGGGATCAACTAAGAAGAAGAAGAAGTGCTGCGAAAAAGTTTGAATATCCATCGCGAACTATGTGTTTAGACAACATTCCTCTTAGTTAAGTTTTATTGACTAATTATTGTGATGTTCTCCTTATTGACATGCTGCCACCTCTTCATGCAGATTTCCAATTTCATTTTTATTGTTGATGGATTTTCCCTACGGTAGTGAATTTTATTTAACACTATTAAAAACAGACCTCTACTACTGCTATTATGCACACGGAGTCGGGCTAACTCGGACCAGGAGACAACTCGGCCCAGGTACAAAAACGGTCAGTTTTTGCATGTTTAGGTTAGGGTTAGAGTTAGAGTTAGGGTTAGAGTTGGGGTAAAATGACAAAAAATTACCGTTTTTGCAGCTGGGCCGAGTTGTCCCCCTGGTCCGAGTTAGCCCGGATCCCATGCACACGACCACTATTAGTCTGAAAATCAAGACCCCTTTTTAAAAAAAAGCCCCAATCTGTGCCGCAGAAAAAAATAACGCCACCCGGGCCCGGCCGCATCTTTTTCCCTCCTAACCTACATAGGTGACTACATAGATCTACCTAGATCTAGATCTAGCCAGGCCTAGCGCTGCATATTAATATTTGAATATATGAATAATTGAATCAGGGTTAACTCTGACTTTGGGCGAACTCGGCCTCGCTGTAAAAACAGTAATTTTTTGGTCATTTTACCATAACTCCAAGTCCAGGAAGCTCCGACGCGACGCCTGGCTTTGGCATTGGAGCTTCAGCGGGTGCATAGACTAGACCTAGTCTAGATCTAGGAAAGCATTCAAACAGCCGGTTGGGCGACATAATCTCAAAATATGCAAAGGAAGTAATTACAATTTTGACTTACTAGGTTGCTCGACTCCTCTGGGCATCTGGTTGGCCACTTGAAATTATAATTTGAAGAAGTCTTTGATGGGATAAGATGATTCTTCTTCCCACCTCGACGATTCTTCAGAATCCATGTTTTATATCGTTGATTCAACATATTGCGGAGAGAATGTACGCACTTACGCATGCGCAGTAATGCATACTTTTTTTAATGATAGCATATTCATATTGTCCTTAACACATCTCCATCAAAGACACTGTGTCAGTAATTACCAACGATGGAAGACAAATTGTGGTAAGTATCGACTTGGGGAAAAAGTATTCCTTACAACTAGACTAGTACATTTACGTTTACCCCTTGTCTTAACTCTTAACCCCTTTATACCAAATTAATCACAATTATTTTATTGTACCATTGCATAAATATTTCCAAATTAAATCTTGGAATCACTTTTATATTAAAGGGGAATTAATCTCAATCTAGATGTTAATTTCAGTACTTCACCAATTTGACTAAAGGGGGCACATTACTCTTTTTCAGAATCCTTTGTCTTTTGGGCTCTGAGAATTTTCATTAAACACAAGCGCGCCGCTGCGCGCTACATCAGTTCTTCTTGCCATATGTCACAACCAAGAAGTTTTGAAGGGAAATTTTGACAAAATAGCAGCTTCCTTGGGAGCATACGACGTCGTACATGGCGAAGTAGGGTCTCTTTATTGTACTTACATACAAGACAATATTATTTGGCCATTGGCCTACAGCAATGCTTTTCATATCAAATGAAATGTTGTTATGCTCTCTATGTCATGATTATGCTTCATAGTTGAGAGTTTAATTCCCCTGTAGGCCAAGTAAAAGAACATTTATGTTTGGCACAATGGAGATTAGCCCTGTGGTGCTGGGCTGTATTCATTATGGCAGGATAAGAGTTAAGGGTCCAATTGTATGTTAACATGTTTGATCTGTTACCGGTAACAATATTATTCTATCTCTCCACATTGCAGGGAACTTTGAAAGGGTTTGACCAGACTATCAATCTTATTCTTGATGAGAGCCATGAGAGGGTTTACAGCAATACAGCAGGAGTGGAACAGGTGGTTCTAGGACTCTACATCATCAGAGGAGACAACATGTAAGTGTTCATGCATACTGGATCGTTCTTATTCAAAGAAGGAAACGTAGACAAAGGCTTAAAGATCTGTCCTCAAGTTGATTCACGGTGTTGTATCTAAGAAATAGGGAGATTTTCTTACCGTTACATTTTAATTGTAATTCATATTTATTGGTCTATAGATGTCAGATCCTACCAAAGGTGATCATCTTTTATGGCTAATAATGAATATCGTAAAATGTCATTTATAATCCTTTGTATTTAGTATTTCAACTCTCTATAACAATAATTACTTTACCCTATTTAACTTGAAAGAAAAAAATGATTCTTTGATTGTTGATCTGTCTATCACTATTTCATCAACTTAGTCATGGTAAATACAGTGGACATTTTTTATAATGAGGACATGAGGACCATGAAACATTTTTATATCAGATATCTTGTTATATTAGTAATCATATATCAAAAAATCTAAAAAAAGGAATGTACATGTAATGAGTTGGGATCAGGTATCGTTATTTTGAAGGTCATTATAACTAGTATCCACTGTACTGTATCTTAATCTCTTATATTACTCTCCCCTCTCTCTCCTCTCTCTCTCTCTCTCTCTCTCTCTCTCTCTCTCTCTCTCTCTCTCTCCCCCCCCCCCCCCCTCACCCCCCCCCACCCCCCCCTCACCCCCCCCCCCCCTCACCCTCCCTCCCTCCTTCCCTCTCTCTATGTGTCTATGTAAATATCTGACGTTATTTTTGTTCTCCCTCATCAGAGCTGTTATAGGAGAGGTAGACGATGATGTGGACACTGGTCTTGATCTTCCTAACATCCGAGCCGAGCCCCTCAATGCAGTGGTCCACTGACATCAGCTCCTCAGTATGAACTACATGTAGTATAAGATACTGCTTAACCTGGAGTTGGTACAACACAGTTAGGACAGAAAGACAATTGAAAGCAGAAAATATGATGGAAAGAATCAGCAACCCAGACCTTCTTGGGCCAGACTACATCATGTACATCAAAGTTTCATTCAAGAAGGTTCCATGCTGCGCCCTGGAAAATGAATCAGGCCAAGGAGATGTCCAGACCATTTATGGTTAGAATAGAATGATGTATGATGATGATGACGGTAGTGATGAAGAGGATGATAATGATGACATGCATTTGAAACCATCTGCCATAGAAAGAGTGGATGTGACTGCAATTGCCAGACCACTGAGGTACTACTATGGGCTTTGACAATCATATATCATAGAAAGACCACAGCCTTACAAAGACCATATGTTTTGTACCACTTTTATAGTATTTTTAAATTCAAATCTGGACGTTAAGCCCACCTGCCTACATGTATAACACTTTTCTTTGTCTCCATTGAGCAGTCCTTATATACAGGTTTCTGTTTTTAGATTTAATTCTGTTTTATTCCACTTTAAGATATGTTGCTCAAGGAGGACGTCAAGACCTGGTAAGGGTGAAAATTTACCAACAAAAATGTCAAGCTTGTTCGAAGAGGAAAACAAACGTATTCTTCAAGTTTTTTTTAAGCCTTTCATTTAAGGGCAATTCAACTCTTGAGATAAGTTAACTTTTATGAAAGCAGTAAAATAAGATGAACAAAATGCTGAAAATTTGAAAAATGGGACCAATAATAAGAAAGTTATGAATGTTTGAAACATGAAAGCAGTAAGTCTAAACAAATGTCAAGTCGGCAGTTTGGTCAGTAGTGGATTGTGAGGTAGTTGCAGATAACTCTCCTGTTTGTTGTCTACCAAAATATTATTAATATCTGTTTTTTCTCCTAAGTGCCTTATCTCTTGGGACACTACTCAAAATATATTATTGATAGCATTTCATATGTCCTCTAAAGAGCATGATAGACCCCTCCCTGAGTCATAAATTTGTGAAAAGTTGAAATTGTGTGTGTTGGAACAAATGGGAAAGTTGTCTACCACTACATCATAGAGACATTACAGAATCAGCCAATTTGAAGAGCCCATACCTATAGTGATTACAACTTTTAAAAAATCATAACTTTCTCATTATCCCCCAAATTCATTCTAACTTTTACTAGTCTACTTGAGTGGTTTTGCTGTCAAGGTTGGATTTCATTAAGGGCTAAATGTGCCTGTTTATATTTTTCTTTTATTGCTACATTATTTTAATTAAATGTCTCTGAAAACAATTTTAGTATGTACTTTTGTCAACAATTAAAAAAATTACCATTAAAAAAAAAAAAATGGTTGACTTTAAACGTGTTGCTAATTTAAGAATTTTAAAGCTCATTCTCCATATCAGATTTCCGACATGAAAGGATATATGGTCATGCAACAAAAATGGATGCAGTGTGAGTATGTGCAGAAATTTCGCTCCTTCTACTCATGCATAAATCTGATGATATATATTTTAGGGCTCTGGATCAAAAGTTATTAAGCCAAACCACAAAATGTGGAATGACGAAGAGTAACAGACATCATCTTGACCTTTAGTATGGCACGTATGTGACTTCTTAATCCCAAGCTCTTCTTCTATGATTCAGAGAGTAAACATGTACATGTATCTTTTCCATGAAAGTGAAGCAATAATTTGTTAAGATATATTGATAATTTTGTAATTGACATATTTCAGGTACTCATGTTTAGCATGGAATGTTTTACTGATGAACCTGGATTCCTGGAACCATCTACATGTAGTAGATTTACAAATGTTCAAGATATTTAGTTTCTTTGACCTTGATCTCTAGACATCGAGTCTGAGAGAGTGAATTTTGATTTTATTATTTTTAAAATCATATTGTACAGTCTTTGCTTATTCAATATCGCAACTTTTTATTCCAAAATGATTTTGTTTTTACTCTTTAAGTTGATAATCTCATTTTCATGAAAAGAGTATGCCTTGAATATCCCCATAATTAAGGATGTGTACATTCTGTTTCAGGTGTAGATACATGTATCTGATTTCACTTTTTACCTTGCAAGTTTTTATTAAAGAAATAAAATGTTGAGTACTTCACATTGAAAGTGTTTGTCAGTGATGTTCATCTCTGTTGTACACAGTGTGATGTGTTGTGGGCCAACCTTATTGTATGTTACATGATATCTGTATTTGACAAGGTTTATTATCTCAAAGGGTGCCATGCTATGAAACAAGCTCCAGCAACACTTCCTCTACATTCAGTTTCTACACTGATCCAGTACCTAAATTCCACTCCAGGACAAAACACTATACTTAAAATTAACCCAATTGCAGCCATGTACAGGTGTATTGTTGAAGTGATAAAGCCTGGAGTCGTGGACAAAAGTGTTTTGGCAAATAATCTGGTCACCAACTGAATGGATCACAGACTTTGGTTGGTCAAGACTCAGCTCTGGTCTGTTCTTGTACAAAACTTGGATTTCGAGACAGAATGCGTCTTTCAAATGGTGACATGACTGACATTTAAGATCAGTCCTTGAGTGTAAATAAGCAGATTTGCTTGATGCAGGTCTGTGATAATCTTGTCAAACACACACAAGGATGAGTAAACCCATTTAGTCAAAATTCTAATCAAGAAATGCAGCATTTTATTTTGGGGCTCTCCATTATTATTGATAGCAAATTACTATAGGTGAGAAGTAGTGAAACCATAAACACTAGAGAGTGAAGAGGGGAAGACAATGGTAGAAGAGATTACAGATGAAAATAAAAATGTTTTGAAAAAAATATAATAAGAAGTGAAAAAGCAGTGTGCCATATTTTGTGTGCAAGTCTCCTCATTTTAAAGTTACTCTTTCAATAAAATATTTTCACTTCCGATATATTTTCTCCCTCTCCCTCTCCCACTTTCCCTATCCCTCTCTCTCTCTCTCTCTCTCTCTCTCTCTCTCTCTCTCCTATCTCTCTACTAAAGGTTGTATATGTACTAGCATGTATTTGTCTATTATTCCCCATTTCTCTTTCTCAATGTTATTATACAAGTACAATCATTCAGATATGTCTTTGAATTCTCCCTTTCATTCTCTGCCTTCCTTCTAGACTTAGACATCACTGATATGTATTTGTGTATAAACAAACCTTGATGCCATCTATTGTACATGAACTTTATATTCTTTTTCATTCCATGAATATCATCTGTTTCTCCCCTTTTGTCACAATCCTCTTGGCCTCTCCCTCTCATATTCTTTCTCATGCTTACTCATCCCGCTCCTCTCAGCCTTATCGGACACCAAATATAATATGAAATACAAATGCATAAAATTCTATACTCTGTATTTTCTCATACATATGAAAAAACATGTATATATATATATATATATATACAATAACCACTGACAACATCTTCCTTGTAACAATGCAATGTTCCGTCACATAAGATCTATAAGTATTTACTAAGCATCTGTACACAGGAATATGTAATTTATACGTTATCTGCAATCATAAATTATACAGTAGCTGTAATACATTATATACAGGGCTCATCACTTTATTGTCTGTTTGGACACGAAAGACGTTGATCGAGTGTAACATGATAGCAGTATATCTTGTTCAGGCTCCAAAGAGATGATATAATTTGGCTCATTAAACACTTGTTAAACACAAGAAAAATAACCTACTTAATAAATGCATTTACAATATGGAGACTTTGCTAATCAATCTTAATCAATGTTGAGCCCTGTCACACATTGAAACATATTAAGGTCTTTACTTCAGTTACCAGCATAAAATCTTAACTTCAGGTCCATGTTCATGACAGAATAATTCATCTAATGCCAGGTATATTTAGAATATTGTTTCACTCCCTCTGTGGGCATGACAGGATACTACCAACATATTGCTCCCTCCCTCTGCAAGGAAGAAAAGCATTTCCTTATAAATCATCATATTTCTCTGCTGAAAATAGCTTGGTGCTTTGACACTAGGTCTCTCAGAAAGAAAGTTCAATAAATTTGTAGTTGTTAGTAATCCAGACTATTTAATCTATGAATTGAAAAATAGACAAGTACATTGGACATAGATCAGGCATCTGGGATCTTACAGTTCCCCTCCCTGCACTGCTGACCGGTCAGTCTGAGTCGGTTGCGGGCAAACCACATGTAGCCACGATCAAAGAGGCCAGCAAATATCGGCCATTTCATGAATCCAGTTGCCCAACCCCAGCCTACAGCTCTGTACATGGCATCAACAGCATTGATCTTCTTGTGCACCTGTAAGTTTCATGGAAAAAAAATTCTTTTAGGATGATGCCCTATAATGTTACTTGATCATCCAAACAAATAATTTAAATCAAAGTGCCTGTCTGCACGCCCCCCCCCCCCCAACTCCACCTACTTTTAAAAAGGCCAGCAAATAATCAATATAATGCACCGATACTCTAATCTATTATTAACAGAACATCTTGTTGACTTATATTATAATTGCCTGGCACAAATCTTTCAACAAAATAAATGAATACGGTAGGCCTAAACAAAACAAAAAATATTTTAAAGTAATTACATGGTATCCTTATCTGGAGAAAATCTATAAGAAAAAGTTTGAAAGAACTCAAAACAAAAAACTTGGCAGGAGAATTTAATTTGATATGCTTGAATCAAATCCTCTTAACTATACATAATCACTTCATTCCTTGTACGTGTATACCATTTATTCATTACTTTGTTAACTGAAGCAATTTGTACTACTTAGGTCGATTTGGACCCTGTTTCATAAAACTTGTTATCAGTAACAAATGCTAAATTTTTAGGGCAACTTTGCTCTCAGCCAATCAAATGCCACGATTCCAGTAGCTAATAAATCTTACTGAGACTTAATTGTTTTGGATGAAAAGTTTAATGAAACAGGGGCCCCAAGGCAGAAATCTCACCGTGTTATCTGGCCCTACAACATGCATGATACCCATCGCTTCGTCAAAGGGAATGTTGTTATGCTCCATCTGATTGTATCCTGGTTGCGAGATGTCAACAAAATGGATAGCATCTTTATTGTTGTTCAGGTACCTCACAAGCTTGATCTCTTGAATACACAGTGGGCATTCCCCATCATATAGAACCTGTGTGCAAATGAAATTGTGCTGAGCTAGACTGATAAACTTAGGGGGGGTGCCAAGACCTGCTCTCCCCTCTTGATCCGCACCTCTACTATACTACTACTACTACTCAGGCGAGTACGCAGGGGGGGGGGGGTTGAACCCCCCCCCCCCCCTTTATCTTGTTTTGGGGTGTTTTGAAGAACCCCCCTCCATTATGGCATTAATTTTTTTTGTTAATAAAAAATGAAAATTTAAAAAAAATTGTGGTAATGGGTGACCAAAAAGTGCTGACCTTACCCCCCCAACGAAACGAAATATCAATCGGCCAAATTTTGGGACCCCCCCCCCCCCCCCCAAAAAAAAAAAAAAAAACAAACAACAAACAAACAAAAAACAAATATGTTGATGAAGTTTACGTTACCTTAGTTTTACCAGTCCTGTTCACGCCGATATCTGCCGCCAGCCCCTCGCCTTCCTCTATACCTGTTGTTCCGCCTAATGAGCTCGTCGAGCACAGGCCTCTCTTTCCAATCCCGTTACGGCAAACCAGATCGTTTAATATGCGTTGCGAACACAACTTCGTCATATTTCTTAAATATGTCAAGGTCGTCATCTTTTAAGGTAGGGTTTGTGCCAGCTAGAATGTTCACTCTTCGCTTGTTATTGTTCGAAAACAGAGCAGATGTATGAGCATAGGCCCACGCTACCACGGGTTACGAAAGAAGGATAGTAAGAGTTACGCAACACTCATCATTGCTTAGACAATGCACTAGCAGACGAAAAAGCAATACCGCCATCTAGTGGCGCAAAATTTCAAAACATTTATTTCTGCATTAGTAGGGCCTATATGAAAGTCTCAATTTCCTGAATAAACCGAGTTGAAAATAAAGAAAGAAATCACAACATTGTCGTAAACTTTTTGTCCGGCCTACACTGATTTTAAAGGCTAGATAAAAGCGTGCGGACATATGATTTTCGGGAAAGGATGTACGGTAGGCTCAAACCCTGTTTAAACTTTCAAGCGGCCCGCCACTTGGTCGATCCCCATCCAGCGGATAAACTTAAGGGGGGGGGGGGGAGTCGGAAGGGGGAGGGGAGAAGGGGGAGGAAGGGTTAATCAGATTTGGTTTTGACGAGCGTGTGCGGCTGAACGTCCAAGGTCATAACTAATGTTAGGGATTATTTTTCATAATTGGCAGAAATTGGGAATGTGGAGAAAAAGATAAATGAACTTTTTTGTTTCTGGGATTTAGCAAGAATATAAGCCTAAACGTTTTGCGGAGAGGTATATCATTCCGAAGAGAACATATGCCCATGTTTAAGACCAAGTGGCGCCATTTGCAGGAAATTGCAAACAAAAATTCATACCCCATGTTTAGGGCCTTCTTTGGCAAAATAAACAGGGACCGAATAGATTTAGAGCAGCATATTGAATCCCCGTATACCGTATTAGGCGATAGAGTTTGATATTTTTGTAGGGTTTCTTCAAAATAATCGATAAATAACGATTAATAGGACAATGATAAAATCAAAATTTGTTACACTTTTGAAGTTTGTTACAAATTCAAATAAATAAAACAGTATTAGTTGCTGTTGATATGCAAGGTATGTTCGAGGTCAGTTTCGTATTTTTTGAAATTCTCTTATGATAATAATCAGTAGAAAGTAATATAAAAGGGAGAAAATCGGAGGGTAGGCCTATATAACTATATAGAGGAAAGAAAAGAGAGGAGAGACAGAGAAAGAGAAAGAGGGCCGGGTAGAGAGAGAGAGAAAGAGTGTGTGTGTGTGTGTGTGTGTGTGTGTGTGTGTGTGTGTGAGAGAGAGAGAGAGAGAGAGAACTATAATAAGAGAGAGAGAGAGAGATAAATATAATAAGAGGAGGAGAGAGACAGAGAGACAGAGAGAGGGGTGGAGCAAAGGGGAAATGGAATGGCCCTTTTAGATATCAATGTTTATCTTCAATCTTGAATATGTTGTTATGTTGTATAACATATATGCCATGGTTGGTTAATACAGTTTTGCAGCCTAGAAATGTAATGCGTGAGAAATATAAACAAGATTCAACCAAGGGAAATGATTTTTATTAATTTTATTTTAACGAGAATCCTACAAATGTTTTAATAATCTTTATAATAATAATAATATAAATCAAAATTATTTTACGGAGTATAGTGCATGAGATGACGAAGTTACTTATTATTACGTAATAAATTAAAGCTATGTCAGCAGACAAACTTTAACCTCATGATATCAAGACGCATACAAAATACATTACAGCATACTAATACAAAGTATACAGAAAGGCACAAACTAAGACTACAAATTTGCTCTAAATCTAAATTTAGATTCTAGAAATAGATTTTATCTTATAGAAAAACAATTGTTCAAAATCTGTATGTACTATGACTAGCCTCTATAATAGATACCATGAATGTAAATGTATACAAGTTATAAACAAGTTTAATTTCCTCTTCTTCTTCTTTTTAGATATAAAAAACATGATATCAATATAATTCTGCCGATTGTGACGTGGTGATTTGACATTATACGGCTTGTTTCCTCTTCACCCAAAACGGAATCTGAAAGAACTTTAACGTATAGTGCTTGTCGGAGGCTTAAGAGCACATTTTGTTTTGGTCCCGAAAATTTGAAAAATTACCGATCGATTTTTCGTTCTGTTGAGGGGGGGGGGGGGAAGTCACCATTTTTTGTTTTAATTTAAAAACAATTGAGGGGGTTCCTCCAAAACACACACAAAACAAAATTGAGGGGGTCGACCCCCAACCCCCCCCCCCTCGCGTACGCGCCTGCCCATGTCAATCAATTATTCCTTTGTATAATGTGATAGCTTTATCCCAAAGTTTGATGATAGTACTATGTTTTTGCTCGTATATTCATAAATCTAATGTATCGTATGTGATATCAGAACAACGAATTTGAACGAATTGTTAATACGAAAATGATGTACATTTATAAATACTTAACATACCAAAATTCTATATTTTTGTTAATGACAATATTTATTTTATGAAGGTGGATAAATGCAATAAAATTATACATCAATATATCCTGAAAAAAGGAGCGAGGAAATCAATCTTGTGGGAATAAAGTGAGTAATTTATGGTTAAAATATTAAAACTACGTGACGGATGGTGACATCGCAAACTCATTGGAAAATTCAAAACATTCTTAATAGTTGTGAGATTTGCTTCGAACGGAATTCTCCTTTATCATTTTGTAAAATAACTAAAGGGATTTCTAATTGGGTAATTTTGGATTATAGCAGAACATTCAAATACCAAATTCCGTTGAAGGCTCTTTAACAGTGCCTTTCTCCCAGTTTGAAGACTATAGTCAGAAAGTTTGTGAGATCAAAGTCGTCCAAGACGAGGAAAACCCCCAATTTAATATTTAATGAACTTTGTGCTCACTGAACTACAGTTGTCTAATCAGCATTGACTGGGTGAACCCGGCATACCACCCCCGGAAAGTTTAACTTTATATAATAGATGTAAAACGCAAAATTTAATTCCCTTAAAGGCCCACTGCACTACTGGTAGCTATTTGCGCCCTCTATATAACAAACAATGCCTAATCGGTGACCATTAGTCCCCCATGATCCTCTTTTTCTTATGTTAACTGAGAGCTGAGTTGATGAGATAACCACCTGTCCAGTGACCTTGCAGAGCGGTCTAATCCCTCCTGTAAACTACGGCAGATAAGCTTTAATACACTCTCTCCTAATTTTCATAGTGGAGGGGGGAGGGGTCCGCCCCCTGTTTATCGATTTCGAATACACGCGTGGGTTCCCTCAGAAAGTGGCTCCCCGTTTGGCGTGGACTCAGCCCCACGTGTATCAATTTTAGATACGACACTACACTTATACGTTCTTCTGGTTCTCAATTCTCAGCAGGTTTGTTTTTCTTCTTATAAACGTAAATATAGTAGTTCATCAATATCAACGTAGCACAATACATGTCATATAGTATCCTATATAGACACTCAACCAGGCGCGTACGCAGGATTTTTTTCAAGGGGGGGGGTTTAACATTTGTAAATCGATTCGAAAATTTCGCAACGACTCAGCCAGCCGCTGAATAAGGGGGGGGTAAGAGGCCATTTTTTTTTTTTTTTTTGGTCTCGAAATTTGGAAATTTAACATTTAGCTTCGTTGGGGGGGGGGGGGTAAGGTCACCTTTTTTAGGTCGGTCTTGGGATTTTTTTTTTATTTTATTTTTTTTATATTAAAACAAAACAAACAAAAACAAATCCAAAAGGGGGGATTTTAGGTTTTTTTTAGGGGGGTTCACATACATAAAAATACCAAAGGGGGGGGGGGTTTAACCTCCCAAACACCCCCCCCCCCCCTGCGTACGCGCCTGCACTCAACGATTCAAGAATAACTCATAAGTAAAATGCTAAAACAAGGTAATTAAGTTGACAATTCTGTAAACTACACTGTAACCACAATATACCTAATGTATTCTTGGTAATCGCTAAAGCAGAATATATTCGTTATTAATCTTTTTTGCAAGTTGTAAACAAAGCTATTTCTTTGTTTGATGTTATAATTATTTATGCACATTATAAAATTCCAAACGTTGATGCAACTAAATAATGAAAAAATGATCATGGCTGTTAAGTTTCTGACAAGATTCGTTTTTTGTTAACGTACATGTAAGCCTTTAGATTAAATTGAATCATTGTATAATTAAATCATTTTAATCACTAAAAAGCTCATATTATAAGGTATATACTCCTATTACTACTATGCGCTTTTCATTCTCATGTTTTTCACTGGCCAGCTGGTCTAGCAATCTATTCATGCTAAATTTATTCATATCCTGGAAGTCACTATGTAGTAGTGCTGACTGTCGCTCCACTTGACATTTGAATACCCTGACTGCTCGACGTCGCCAAGGACGTCCGACCACCCTGCGACCCAGTCTTCGTGTACTTAGCCTTGACGAAATCGTCGCTGCGACGCTGACCGGGCTTGATCTCGGCGAAGTGGCAGTGCATCCATCGCACCCACTGCTCGCGGACCTCCTTCTGCCGGACGCAGAACATGAGGAAGACAAAGAACCCCTGGAGGGAGTTTAACACGAGGAAGAGGATGTTGAAGACGAGACGGGCACCACCGATGGCGAGGAAACCGAACAACCATGTCAGACCGAGCAAGACAGAGATGGCAACGGCGTTCTGGACCCGTCGCCACATCTCACCGCGGCTAGCTTGGGTGGTCTTATGGGCAGCAACGGACTTGCGGCATGACAAGCGTTGCATGACGATACCAAAGATGATGAAGTTGGCGGCAAGTAAGAGAGCGACGATGAGTAAGACGCCGTAATACAGTGCTGGACCCGGTTTCACAAAGCAACTGTTAAGCGAAGAGAGAAAAACACAACGTACTTAAGTTTGAGAACAGAGAGACCATGTTTCATGTACCACCACATTATCCTCTTCAACAAAATATTGACGGCTTATAAGATTAATAATGATAGTGATATTGATAACTTAACAGGAAGCAGTTAAATCACAGTTCACCATTAAATTGAAATATCTACGTGGGCCCACACACTTTCCATGAAAAGACACAAAACGACGACCTTGTCAACATGGGTTTTTAAAACACAACCCATTAATAATGTTATATACAATGTAACTACACAGGCCGACACAATTCCATGAATAAAGCAAAATGGCGACCTTGGATACCTTCAAGATGAGT